TTTTTCCACATCTGATCAGTGTCTCCAAATACCTCAGCTGCCCAAATCACAACAGATAATTCTTGTTGCATCCCTTCAAAATTAGCTGTTTTGAAATTTGTAACCAAAATATCATCATTTATTATCTCCATATGCAACAAAACATTGAATCTAATAGAGCAATGATCACTTGCACCCAAATGTTCCCCAATTTCCACCCTCTCAATCATTTCTGTATTTGAAGTTAACAATAAATCTAAAATAGCATTGTTTCTAGTTGGTTCCTTGACTAAATAGTGAAGAAAGCCATCCTGAAAAGTTTTCAAAAACCTTTCTCTTTCATAGTTTGACTGTAGCATTTCCCAATCTAATTGCCTGAAATTAAAATCACCCATAATTATGACTTCATTGACAGTTGAAATCTTAATCTCATTGTAAAGTTTCTCACTAATTTCATCAGTAACATCAGGTGGTCTGTAACAAATTATCACTAAAAGCCTTTTCCCTTTATATCCACTAATAGAAACCCAAATGGATTCAATCTCCTTGTTATTATATTTGATATCTTCAACTATAATAGGATGTAACTCACATTTTACATATAAAACCACTCCTCCCTCATCTTTAATACTCTAACCCTATTAAATTACCTGTCACCCTGTATTTCAAAGAAATTTCTCTCATTAAAATCATCTACGTTTAACCATGTTTCAGTTATTACCATTATATCAAAATCCTCCATTCCTACCAGTGCTCTAAAGTCATCTGGTATATTTCTTATACTTCTAGCATTACAATAGTAACAATGAAGCCAATCCTTATAACTACTTCTATACTCGTATTCTCTGCCTCTTATTCTTTTTACATTTAGCTTTCCTGGCCCTCACCATTGTTTAGTCCTAGTTTAAAACTTCCTTTACACCTAAGTTAATAGCCTCAGCAAACAAGCCAGCCCCTATCCTATTTAAATGTAAAGCATCCATTCCAAAAAGCTCCCATCTTCCACTGAACTGATCCCACAAGTCCAACCAGCCAATCTGCTCATCCATACATATTAACGTAAGCCTAGCATTTAGCCCTAGTGACTTACTTATAACTTCATCCCCACAGTTAATTCTGGGCAGTATCCCTGACAAAATTAAGTTATGGCTTTATCAACCACTTGTACTTATTAGCTTCTCTGACCTACCTTTCCCTACATCATTAACCCCTATATTCACCACAAAAACTGGATCTCTGCCCCTGGGTAGCATAATCTGATTCTTTTCTCCCTATTTACCCCAGAGACTATTCTATCCACATGCCTTGTCAAGGAATCACCTATAACTTCCTTAATTATATTGTTACGTCTCTGGTCGTTTGTTAATTTCCGGTATAAATTCTTCCCGAGGAACTTCAGCAACACAAGTCCTTTCTTAAATAAAACTAGTTTATTCTTTGCAATACACAGAATTTCCACAGTCACTTTAACTTCAACACACGCTATAATTCACAACAATTCACGCACTTTACTTACGGTCACTACCGCTTGCTTGGCTCAGTTATCTGTCTCTATATCTCTCTATCTGCCCTTCTGACTCCGCTTTATTTGCCGGGCTTATATACAATAAAAGAGGGCGCTTAGAAAGGACTAGAG